CAGTATTTTAATGTTGATTGATCTTCTGGATCAAATTTTGATGTAATCTGTTTTTTGTTAAAAAAAAATTATCATCATTAAATTAAATAATTTTTCAATAATAATAATAATTACCCGAGATGTTTTATTATGTGTAAAAGCAGTTATTATATATTTACAAAACCTGAATTTGATCTTAAAATTGCTCCAGCATGATTAGAAACTTGGCAATCTAAAGTATTAAACGTGAATTGAAAAAGTTCAACAATACATTTAAAACTCAGAATGGAATATTCTGTGACTGAGGCTACTATTTTTCGACCCAATAATGTAAATACTTGATTAACCTATCAATTGTCAATGGACCAATAAATAGTAATTATTTTAAAATATATATACCTCTAGCATTTATAGATTTTCTGTTTAGGATTATAAAAAGCTTCAAATATTTATTTAATAATCTTAATATCCAATTTGAAGTATCGTTGTTTTTTTTTAACATGAAAAAATAAAATTATTCAATTGATGCCTGAATATATTAAAAAAATAAAAATCAGTCTTAATTTAATTATTGAAACAAGATAATTATGGCTATTGCTATTATAAATAAAAAACCTTTTGGATTTTTGAACTTTCTTTTCTATTCAAAACTGCATTTACAAAAACAATAAAGTATACAAATGTTCTGTCAAACGTAAACCAGCCTTTTCAATAACGTCGATGGATTGTTACTTATATCTCCCGCTTCTGCAATTTTCTAAAAAAAAATCAACATTTTCAAATAATAGATAATAAAAATAAATAAATAATTTTTGATTATTTACATATTTAATTAAAGATTGCAAAACTTTATATGTTTTGTAAACATTTAATCAATATTTCAGACGAGGTTGGTTGAAGTAAACTTGTTCTAGATATATCAAAGTATTAATCAGGATGACCAATTTTTTACAAATTGAATTTTCAAATTCTCCGAGATCAATTAGTTCTTCTTCATCATTATATCCTTGAAAAAAACATTAATCAGTATCTTAATGATTATTTAACAATCCTAGTATAAAATTTTTTTAATCAATCAATTACCTTTTTTACTAATGACTAATCTCATTCTGATTAATGGCCATTCAATTTCATCACAGGTTTGTTCTATAAATTCAAGCAATATAACACAATTAATATTACTAGCTCTTAAATTAACAATAGCAAAAATTGGTGTTTGTGATTCATCTAACTTTAAATCAATATCGCCAGTATCACAACTTCCCAGAGCAGATAATATATCATGTCCAAACTCTGGAACCATATCAAAATCTGAGATTTCCCTTTCCAGTTTGACCAA